GGGATTACTTATTTAAAATATTAGATTTAATTACGATGAGTCATCATTACGCAATTTAAACTTAAGATCGACCTTACATTCCACGTGATGAACTATACAAACGTGGCATCATTCTAGATTTCTAATAACCCTAATCAGGGTGTCACATGTGTATGGCACACTAATGTGGCGTTGTAGCGACAACTGTGTTATAAATTATCTTAATAGCACGTTAACATGATGTAATGTATAAGAATGACGGAAATGAATAATTGAAAGAGTAACACTAATTTGAATATTATGATGCATACTTTCCTAACCGAAGTGTATTAACTGATATACAGTACATGTTGTCAACCATCAGAGTTAGTTAAAACGATCCACAAGAGTGCAGGCTCTCCTGAAAGATAATACTAGCAATAATTTAAAAAGGTTTGATAAACTTACTAACGTGATCTATGGCATGGTGTAAAATATGATAGAATTCCTTTATTTTATAGAAATATGAAATATTACGCGTAGTAAACAAAAAAAAAGAAAAAAACTATTACATTATTTCTACATCAATATTCCGGTCTGAAAACTATATTCTAAGATTTTTTAACAATTTGAAATATTTCATATTCTTCTATTTCAAAAAACGCCCTATTATATGAGAACGACCTTTCTTCGGTATCCTCCTTAATTCGTTTTTTGTAAGCTGAACTATCACAAGAACATTCACCGTTAGAGTCGTAAATACCAAGGTCAAAACCTGAACCAGTACCATCATCAGTATCAATATAATCACCACCAAAGCATGGACCAGATTCCCAAGAGCTATAAATTGCTTGACCTGAATCTTTTACACGACTTAAAATAGACTTTTGAATGGTACTATTCTTCAATGAAAAAATAAAACTCTCATCACAATAAGAAAATTCACCACCGATATTGCTATATGGTTTATTCCATCCAATAGGATTATACCCACCAAGAATATCATCAAAAATTCTTCCTCCTCGTACAATTTTAGCATCAATTAGAGCAAATACTGAATTTTCAAGAGTTATTAATGAAGCAGATGCTGCAGAAATTGCATCATGGATTGATCATAAAACTAGGTTATATTCGGTAGCGAACAATCCTTACAACTTTAAATTACTTCTTCGTGGAAGTAGAGATGGCTTTACCATCAAAGCATTTTGGAGATTATGTAATAAGAGAAGAGACCTCGTTGTAGTTTTAAAGGTTGAAGGCACTGATGATATTCTTGGTGGGTA